TCTACACACCTATTTTAGTGTCATTTCATCTTCACTTCGCTGTGAACAAGCCCTTTGTTGGTTTTGAAGAACATGCTGCCGCCATGCCGGCAGCGTGCCGGCGGCAGATAGAAAGGCAGCGTTATGCTTTTTCGCAAAAACGTATTCCCTTTGCTTGTTCCCCCAAAAACGATATCCAGCTTGCTTGGTAAATCACCTGTGCCGTGCCCTGGCCCTCACCCCCTTTGAGGCTACACATTCTCTTCTTTCGTTTTCCTTTTTGCGAAACGCTGTTTCCTTTGTTTTAAAAATGTTCGTGGTCAAAATGGGCATTTTCATTGTTGCTGGGCAATATTTCATACTTCCGTGATTGCTTACTGAACTGAACTCTGAGTTCAGGTAAGCTTAGATGAATATTGGTAATCTTGCACATGGTAACATGTGTTAAGCTGCTGCATTTAGTGAATTTAATTGATTATCTGCACCGCTTCTCCAAGCTTGCGGAATCGCCGAAGAATCGAATACAGCAGATGTGAACTCGCTCGATAACACCAAAGTCGTCAACATAATGAATTTTTAATAACGTGGAAAATAGCCGTTAACAACAAGAAAAGCGGAAGAAAAACGTGTGTAAGATTGCACCCAGGGCTGAGGGTGTCGCGCACCCGCAGTCACAACCGCAACCGGCCTGCTGCAGTTCAAATTCATATTCATCCACCGGCATAGTTACGATAGGGGAAGCAATAGATCTTACGCACCTCACGTCTGAACCAGAACCCGGATGACCATTTCACCTGAGGCTGGGTTGGAGAGGTAATCTGAGAGTGAATTATGATCGAAAAGCTATTGGGAATTCCACATCTCAGACGTGAAATACATAACCAACAACCACACAATCGTAAAAGGAAGTACTTCTATCAAATTCAATAAGAATTACCGTCGTTACTTTTTTCGCACTATTTCAATAGCATCTACAATAGATACTGTAGTATGAAAAAAACTAAATTTGGATAAAAATAACATGGCAATATAAACACTCCAAAAAGGATTATAGGAGTCAAAAAACATTTGAATTTTTTGCTTGAGAACCTCAATGGTTGAATGCTTGTTTGCTGCCTCTTTCTTCCACGTTTTTTGGAAAAAATTTCGAACATATTTATTTAAGTCTTAAAGGTACCGTCCACCCAAAATGGGATCGATGGGATCTTGATGCCTACCAGTGGTGGGACCCCCAACTGCATACTTGTCCAACTCGCGACGTTAAAAAATGCTTCTGAAGCGAGAAAATTGCCTCGAAAATCGCTCGGATGACAGTTTAGCCACGTTGGCTCCTCCCCTTCGAGCGGGCATGATGTTCGTCCCGCCCATCCGTGCCCACCCATCCAATCATAAAATCCGGAAAACTCGCCTTCCGGATTCTGGAAACGGGGATTTTTCGAGGTTTTCGCTGACTCTCGATTTGTTATTCGGAATCAGGGGTACAAGAAGGCCCTGGAACGGCAAAAACATCGAAGTTGAAAATTTGGGTGGACGGTGCCTTTAAGGCTTTCTAAGGCTTGTCACAGCTTTAAGATAGGTGGACCAAGACAACTTTGCTTGTAAAAGAGCAAGAAAAAAGCCAACTAACGTGAGTTTATATACAGGTTGTCGATGCTTATATAAACCAAAAAGTCTAAAGATTGCAAAAACAGCTCAGTGTGATAAGCCGTGATTGCTGTAAGTAGTAAATGACTACGATAGTAAGACTACGTCATTTATGAAATGGAAGAGAGTTATATGCAACCAAAGCGAGTCAGTAGATATCTGTCGGATAACTCATATCTTACTGCTAGGAGAGCTAGAAAAAGTCGACGGCTACTTCCTCAGCTTTCATATGGTATATGGTTTGTTGGGGCCTTTCGCTTCCTAGCTTTGATATCCTTGCTCCCATGCTAGTACATTGACGGCGCGGTGGAGCAAGCTAGTAGGAAATCTCAACCCTATTTGCAAGAACTGTCGAGTTTTTTCGCCCCACAATCCACTTACCATTCAGAAACTTAGGAGACAGGGATTTGACCCAGACTCGACTTTTTCGTAGGTCTCACCTTCATTGCGATAAGAGAGCAGAAAATGAGCACACTAAATTTTGGGTGTATGCCAAGATGAACGATAGGTGGAAATAAGCATATTGTACTCGTGCGGTTGTCAATATGCTGCGCCTAAAGTCTTATTTTTTGTAGCGATATGTTCTTCACTGGGTTGTAAATGGTGTCGAACAGTAAGAATAAGGCGGCGCAGAGCTTCCACCGTTTTTTCCAAAATTTTAAATGTCATCATAACGTAAATCTAGAATCTAGGAAATATTTGACCTACGCAACGCATGCGGCTGGCACAATCTATCGTTCATGTTGGCTGCCCCCCTAAATTTTACTTATTAACCAGATGAGATCGCTCGTGTATCCCGGACCAAGATACCTAGAAAAAATCAAGGGTATTACTCGACTCTGCATGATCTCGGCTTTCAAATGGTATGTAGCTAGGGCATTTCGCTTCTAGAGCTCACTTATCCCCTTCGCCGTACAAGGATGGGAGTAGCCGAGACTTACCTGGAAAGGGCCCGGCTCCCCCTATCGCACTTATGTCCAACAGGTGTCTGCTTTTGAGGTGAGGACGATTATACTAAATGAAAGAAACCAAACTCAGTGAGCAGTCAATTTGATTTCGTTTTCTTGGGTTTTGCCTTCGTACACTTTGATTCGTTCGAAAAAAAAAACACTATTTGTGGCAACGGCTGTCTGCAGCGCGCAGTTATAAGCTTACAATTTTGCTGAGATTGGATCCTTTTGAGAAAAACCTCTTTTCAATAGAGATTTGTGAGGGTGGTCTAGTGGCATGTCCCGGTATGACCTGATCGATGAGGAACACCGGGTTTGGGTAGACATTCTATTTATGGCACAAAGTAACAGCAACAAACAACTGGACCTCAACCCGATCTTCTTAGCATGGTTTTCTAGCTATCTTCTCTATCTAAGGCAAGAGGATCGCTCCTCTTCGACCGATCGCTCAAACTCCAGAGAGCGTTCTGTTCACGCTTTTTTCCAAAGATTAGGGTAATCCTTGCCATTAAACTGATTGAGGGATAAAGTAAAGTTGAGCCTTAAAGGCAGCGTCCATCCAGAATCTATTCAGCCCAGAGTACTACTTATCCTACTAGCAGACCCTAAAAGTAGATCAACCGGTTGGTCCGGTCCCCTAGTGTTGCTAACAAAGGGAGGTGACGGACCTGGATTCTCCGCTTCACCCATTTTTTTGCGCTCCGCCCATTCACGGATTGTCTGACATTACAAGCAACTTCGAGCCACACAGTTTGTGATGTGTCACTGTTGCACATGACGAGGTTTCCTGTTGCATACGACGTGACTAGCGCCGGAAGACTCCTCCACGTTTGCCAAAGTAGGACTCCAGATAGAGGCATTTTCGGAGCTGTCTGATAATTTGAACCTCTTATCCGAAGTCAGCGCCATGGAAAGGTCCGATAACAATAAAAACACGAAAGACGAATTTATGGATGGACGCTGCCTTTAACACTAAAACCATGAGGTGGCTGAATGTTATGAGCGTTCAAATCGAAAATGTCGGTAGTGTAGTAGTCGTTTACGTAACCATTCGTTTTTCCACAAATATTAGGTTGGCGGATAGTTTCTGTTACACTTTCATATTTGTTTCTTGAAGTTCTGAGGAACTTTCGAAAATTCATATGTTCAAAGAGCGTTGAAGGGGTGTAAAGGTCTGTCCATCGGCACTATCAGATCGTGATCCATGCGCAAAACACTCACTTTATCGGCGGGAGTACGTTTTATGGACATTTTTTTAATCGAGCTGAGATTCTTTCAGGGGCGGTATTTATCAATCTCCCACCCCGCGCCTGCACGGGCTGTTATCTGTACAGAACCCCTTTCCACATAGGAGGTTGATAAATACCGCCCCAGATGACAAGGGAGAGACCGGGCAGTATGGTCATCGGGCAGGGTATGGTCCATAGATTTCCGCTATAAGGGGGATGCCACAAGCATGTCCGCGCACGCTCACATGAGCTACATGGTGCGCCATGTCAGCACATTCGCCTAAAGAATAATTTTTAAAAATTTACAAAAATTATTTCCAATCTCTACATATCAAATCCTACACGATGCACACAAAAAGAAATACTTTCGACGAGCTTTTGATTTTTTGATTTGTTTTTCACTGCTTGCTTTTGGCGTGCCAGCGGAACCAAAGTGCTGCCATAAAAGAGAGAGTGGCAAAATATGCTTTGAAAAGTTTATAGGAGAGAGATAACACAATTAGACGAGAAGAAATCAAAGAAAAAAATGCAATATTTGAGTATGCTGACAAAGTTGTCGTAAACTTGCTAGCTATTTGTGTATTTACGCTATCAGACATACTGTTGTGAACGCTCTGTAGTGCTCTACATATCGAACAAATTCGAAGATTCTAATTGTAAGGAGCTTCCAGAATTCTTCAGAACTCTGCAAAAAAAATTGTAGCAAAAATTATCCGCCAACCTAATGCTTTCTAATCCTTATCTCTTAATGAAGGCACACATGAAATCTAAAAATTGATTCCTATAGAGTTTGCCTACGCATTTTGTAATATGAAATCAAGAATTCGCTGGTTCACTACGGCACTGCTTCAAGTGATACGCCAATAATTTTGCGACCTATAGTTCCGGCTTACATTGTTGAAAATCAAACATAATTGTTGTTAATATTGTAATCGTTGAATTTCTTCTGATAAATGGCACAATTGCAGCGCAAAGCAGGTACGAAATGAAGAACCAGTTAGCGAGTTTTCTAAGTGTTTGACCCAATAGGATAGTGAAAGTAGGGGGAAAGTAGAGCATGTATATAAGAGAGATTGACTGTGTAAATATGATCGCCTAGAACAACTAATCCTTCGCTTTCAAAATATGAAACTTCTGCTTAGTTCTTTGCAGAAATAATCCTCATAATTGAATATTTTAGGGTACCAAATTATTTTTGATGCTCCCGATTCTGCTGCTTCCTCTTCTGCTTCTCAAATTCACATCATCATCATCTGTGGTACAAACTTCATTATGCTGTTGTGGATGCATAGCAGAGCCATGCCCCGTGGTCGGACCCTCATGTCCTTCGCCAAAACATGAGTGCAAATTGTCAACGGACTTCAAGTGCTCAGGTAGTTCCTTGTCAGTCTTCGAGATGAGTTAATTGTTGACTAAACAGAGGACAGGACATTTGTTTCCATATTCGATGTCGTCGAATGCATGTGAATGACATAAAAACGTGCATAAACATACGTTTTCGAGGAAATTGATGTTCTTCACTTGTCCTAGTGTAAATTCGTAACGTTCGTCCTAATTTAGATCTACAGAAACTATGGGAAGATTCATTAAGCACGGACACTAGGAGGAATACGATAGAAAATAAGGTATGACTCGAAAAAATTTTTGTGGAGAAGTGACGAAGAGCTGTTCAAAGAGATGATCAATGATTATTGAGTGACCCCATTTGCTTCCCAATTTACTTCACTGTCAAGCAGTTGGAAATTTTTGCTAACTATACTTTCCCTGGAGTGCAGCAAAACAACATGAACTTTTTAATCTGATTTCTAATTTTCACAATAATGTACCGAAAAACTGCCAATGCATACTAAACGAACAGAAATACTAATTGTTCCTTATACCAAATGTTACCTTTCTTGTCACCACCAGTTTTTCCTAATCATGTGACAAAAGATTTTTTCAGCAACATAGAGTCGTTCTTAGCTCCCAAACGGACCCAGATCCAATCAGAATAATGACTGGAGATGGCCTTACAATACTTGAATCAGGAGAAAGAGGAGAGAGGAAGTGGCAAGAAGTTGTGGTCCCGGTAAGTCGAGAAGAATTTGTTGATGATTGAGATGATAAAGGATTAATCATTCCATCATTCCTCGTTTCACTTTATCCTACTGATAGTCAAAGATAAAAATCAAAGCTTGTTTGAGTTCAGTTCCTTTCTTCAAGATTTTTTATTTCAACGGGATCTTTTTAGTTTTCGTAAAATATCGCTCATTAGCGCTGTGGTTTTATCCCATCCATTTAGCACAGAATGCTCCCTTATACAGTTTCGATACCGAAATATTTGTGTTATGACTGCAACGTGACCACAACGAAGCTAAATAATTCAGACAAACCCTCAAATGATACCCCAATTGTTGCTGAACCCGAATATCTTCCAAGGTAGCCATTACCTGCCACAAGATGGACACAGTGGCCATTTACCGCGGTAGGTATGCACTTTTACCCCCGGTTAAGGATCGATATCTATTATTTTAGTTATTTGAACTCGACATTAGCTCGAGAACCACACCGAAGAGAAAATAATGTAAGTAAGAAATTGTCAGAAAATTACTTTCCAATGTGATCTACTTTTAGCAAAACGAAAACAAGGCGACGTTTGAGAGGTTGGAAACTATGATAGCAGAGCTGCAAGCAATGTTAAAAGAAGTGAAACAGAATGTTCTCGAGAAGTCAACTAGTAACCCTGACCTTACCCTACATGGAGGAGGTATTGTTTTTGTTTTTTTTTTATTTGTTAATCCAAAAAACATTTCCATATAAAAATTTTATTCTGGCAGCATCAACCATGGATCCCGTTACGAAAGAGCTGGAAAAGAAAGCTATAGAAGACGTTATGGCTCGAATGCGTAAAACATTCATGAGCGCTACACATGGAGCAAGGCCTATGAAAGAGGTAAGTAGAGTACCGTTATCGAGTGAAATGTCAAAGAGTTACAGTTGTCCATTTCAGGTAGACTCGTCCATTTCTGCTGCAGCTATTGATGTTCAGTCACCGCTGAGATATGTACCATCACGTGTACGAGTTTCGAGAGCCAGCGAAAGTAGGATAGGTTTTTAATTCTATCGTATTACGTAAAATTCAAGCCGAGTGCTGTACTGGCAGATTTTTTAAATTCCCATCTATTTTGTGATATCGATTTTTGAGCAAACTATCATCCGATACCGTATACCTTCACAAAGAATCGTTTTAGGTGTTAACTCGTCAAACTGCAACGACCTCAAGCTAAGGCAAATCATAACAGAGGTAGAATTTGCCCACTTTTTCAAGTCCTACTGAAGTGTGTAATTACAGAACATCAAAGGAACTGCACAAGAATCAAAACGAGCTATACAGAAAGCCGCAGAGATGGAGTACGGTGGTGTATTCAATGCCATCTGCAGCCCGTGCGAATTTTCTTTCTTAATCAGTTCACAGAAATATTGTGATGGAATGAAAGATCAGGTGAGCATTCTTTACATTTTTAAGGTATGAATACATTCTCATTCAGGGATTTTATACTCCCAGGGTATGATTTTTCACATTCTTAGGGAATGATATTATTTCAGATCGCATGTTTTGTGTTTCTTCAACCGCCGTCACCGTTATCGCTCAGATATTTCTTCTAATTGCTCGTTTTGTTATGTTACGTTTGACTCCTGATGTTAATTTATGTTGATAAAGACTTGTTGCTTAACTTATAACTAAGAGAATACTGATAGTTTAGCCCCTCCCCCCTCCCTCCCCCGCCTTTTCTCTTTTCTATTTAGCCAGGTATGCTGTAAAATGGCCAGCAAAGGGTGAACATTTCAATTTCTTCCCTGACTTTTTTTCAACCGTCTCTTCGCCAGCTGACAGCATGGCTTTCCCTTATAACAATTTATCGAGCAAAGATAAAACAAGTCGCTTCTCGCTCCCCCCCCCCCCCCCAATCATCTACAAAACTAAGTGCTTTCACAAGTTTCTGTGCATCTCTTGACGTAAGCACTTCAAATTGCAGAAAACTCGACAGCTGTGTAATCACACATTCTTAGCACCCACTTCTAAAGCTTTTTCTCTGTCTCGAAACTTCCACATCAACACAGAAAAAATATTATTTTTATTCCAACATCATACAAATATTCTGGAAACATCTGGTGAAAACAAAAAAACATCTAAACGGATGGATGGTATAAAATCTGTCAAGATGCAAAAAAACTAAACGATATAAACATGGAGAGATAGTAGTAAACGGCTAGCGGGGCTAACTATACTAAGCGAATTTGTGGATCTATGAAAGAGGCAAATTTTGGGAGTTCAAAATAAAAAAATCTCATCTTGATGGTACAGCGCAAAATCTTTGCCATTTCCACTGTCATATATCCTCTATTTGAAAAACTATACAATGCTTATAGAAGATGCAAAGAAGAGGAATATAAAGGAGCTTATATAGCTCATAAATGTAATATGAAAAAAGGCGAAAACAGAATAAATACGTAAGCAGCCAGGAGGTTGCACGAAAGATACTGGGATTCTCTGCAAGGACCATATGTACTGGCAAATTTCTTATAGAACAGATTCTTCACGCACTGACACACCGAAACTTACTTCAAAAAAAAATGGGAAAAGCAAAAATAGTGAAAAAAATACAAAACTTAGAAAACCAGCGTGTCAGAACGATTGAATGCGGGATAATATTAATATGCAATCTTATTAAATACCGGTGGCACACCTTAAGAAAGATAGATAGTGATTAGTAAAACAAAAAGATGATAAGTCTCAGTTCCTCTGCGGGGGGAAGGGGATTAGTGATGAAGAATATAGAAAAATTGTACAAAGACTAACACTTCCAGTAGATAGAAATATAACTTCGGGTTATACAGTAGTAGAACGCGGGATTATTGAGGATTAGATTTGAAATACACTAAAAGATTGTAATGCTCTAACACCGGCAGTTATCTGATAATAACAATAGTAAGAAAAGAAAAGGCTGGAAGGTAGGGCAATAAGAGAAATCAAGAAAATTTTGAATAAATTAAATCGCTTCACAAATTTACAGTATTCGCCTGGATGTTCGTCTTGGGTTCAAAGGCGAGTGGGGATTACGGTAGGATTACGGTAACATCGCTGCCGTATAAAGTTCAACGAGTAAATGTAGCTGTTTTCATGGGGTCGAAAACTCTATCTCTCTATTACTCCAGATCTCCAGAAAGAAATTAAGCAGCCTTGGTGGATATAGAACTCATAAATCATAGAGAAAACAGACAAGATTCGATTTTGCCTAGCGCAACCGGGATTTAAGTAAAGAATTTTCCAGGAAAAAAATCAAAAATGGAAAAGCATAGGAGTTTTTGAGGTAGCTGTGATACCTACTTTTTAACGAGCGAGCGTGATAATTCTTTTGCGCGCATATTCGCAAGGCACAACGAATCAGGCACGACATCTAAGGATGCCACAAACATCCATTATCTACAATGTGTACATCTTTCGAAGGAGAAAATGAACTATGCGAAAATTTAGCAAAACAATAAAGAGAGGAACCGGGATATCGATGAGAAGAAAGCAACTCTGTTCTACATGCAAAAAGCGCGATTAGTAAATGGAAAAGCGTAGCGCGATATCAGAAAGCGTAAACAAGTAAACAAAGGGATAGCATAGCCTTGAAAATTCTATAACAGAGGCTGCGGGCTTAAATTTCGAGGAAATCAAGCGGATGGTGATCTATAGAAGATTTACATCGTTCGAAAAACGCACGCATGGCGTAAACAACGGCTTTACTGGCCATTACTGAGCTGCGCGAACACCGGAAGTCGACCTGGGGCCTTTTCCCACTTCTCGTCGAATGTCAGCGACATTATGTCTCCGATAAGACCATTCATCATCGGATCGCTCGTTCTGTAAAGAAAAAACCATAGATGAGAGCGTAAAGTACATTTTTACAATCACCATTTTTTCAGACCTTGAAAGCATTGTCAATAAGCGAATTTTGCAATAAACGATAAAAGAAAAGTTCTTGAGTGGAAACTGATTGGAGGCCTAAGCTAAGCTACTGCCTAAGCGTCAGCTGAATAGATTCACTCGGGCTCGAAAAATTTGGCTCTGAACTCCAGCCCAACGGTATGGATTGGGTTTCTCGCTCATGAATGAACCATACGAGCTATGGCCCGAGCGATAACTCATATGATTCATGGGAAAAAATCGAACCCTCTCCAGCCCATACCGTATTCTAACGTACTCCTGCCTAAGTACGGTATGGGCTAGAATTTAGGTTGAATTTCCCGAACATAAGTGAATCAATTGAGCTGCCGATTGGGCAATGCTTTGCTAAGGCCAAATAGTGTTCGAATAAAAACCCAAATTAATTTGAGCATCTAATTTTGAGCATGGACAAAAACCTCTACAGTCCCCCTCTCAACATTTTTTCCCTCCTTTCCCTTTGTTGATTCTACTAACACGTTACCCCCTGTTCCACATTGATGCTCTAGAATACATATTAATCCTTTGTCCTTTTATGTCACATACATCATCCGCCCCAGCTAATATCCAATTCGACAAATATTCTTCTATCTATACCCTCTAGTCTAGACATCATGTTGCCTTATGGTGATGATCACAACAAAAGTCCTCCTGTTTCCAAAGAATAAACCATAAGCAAATGTGGTAAACATAGAAAATTCTCGTGACTAAGTTTGATGATGGATTCATTGTCATTCGCAGACATGTCGCAAGAACTACGAGTAACTTTGTAATTAGTCTGAGCGCAATATATTTTCATCTATAATGAGAAAGAGGGGAGAATGAAATGAAGCAGCAGAAGAGTAAACATCATGTGCTTGCAAAGATCACATACAAGTCTAGCAAGATACAATTTAACTCCACTGAGGTAGACAAAACCTCATTTCCCTACCGACCTAGATGTGAAGTGAAAGAAAAAACAACACAATTTCAAGGTTTAAGCCATTAGATTCACTGCTCGCTACCTATAAAAAAATCTCCCAAATACGCAGATATATGTACCAAAACGCCAAAAAATTCTTTTCTTCTCTCCCCCTACTCACCTGCTCAAATCGTAATTATTATACGAGTTCGATAACTGCGTCTGTTGCTGTTGTGCTGGTGCTACTCCCAAGCCGTTGGTGGTTCGTTGATTGACCGGAAGTGGTGCCATAAACCCGGCTCCGAACGGGCCTAATAAGGGGAAATTTATTGAGCTGTCGTTACTGGGGACAACATGAACATTAACTGAAGGCTAGAGCGATACTAAAAAGCTATGTAACAACCACCATTATCGTCCAAATCGAGTCCCGGAGAGAAGCTGCCATTTGGTGATTCGGAACCACTATCAGCCGAGCTACTGCTACCCGCCGTTGACTCGCCAGTACTTCCGTATCCGGGTAAAGACGACATACGTTGTAGCATTTGATTACCTAGATGGATAAAGGTCAAAACGAGAACAACACAAAAAAGTAGCTCAATAATGATACGGCCCATGATGAAGACTTACGAAGCGAATTTCCCTGTGCTCCCATGGCTTGACTTAGATGAGTTCCGTATGACGACGAAGACAGCTGTTGAGAGCAGACGGGTGGCATAAACGCGTTGTGATTAGGACGCATCGTCGACGTCGGCGGTGTTTGAAGATTCGCAAGCAAGTCTGCCTCACTAAAAATAATTTTCAATTAAAAAAAATCACATTCGCGCTTCTTGGACTCAAAGGCAATAAAATCTCTAGTTCAAAAAGTCTTAAGGAAGGATACCAAATTGCTGACAAATCGAGAGGAGATGTATATCACTAGATGCAACTTTAGACGCTGATTCCCAATCTCACTTCCTTTTCTGCACAACGACTCTCCGAAAGAAGTTATGAGCGTTTAGAAGTCCAAATTTGACAAGCCATATAGCGAAAAGCTGTATAAAAACCCTTATGCGGATTTGAACTAGCTGTGTTCTTTCCCTTGCAGTCAATATACTCAAAATTGGTGACCCACTTCCAGGGTTTTTTGCAGCTTTTCGCTAATTCATGCCACTCAAGACTTGAAAAATTCGGACTTTCAAACGCACATAACTTCCTTCGAAGAGTTGTTCCGCAAAAAGAAATAGATTCGGGATCAGTGTTCCAAGACGCGCCCAATTATACCTTTTTCAATCTGCCAGTGTAGCTTAATATCCCTCCCCTATTAATAAAAAGTATTTAAAGACAGAGCCGCTTTCACTCGAGATTTTCATTCGCGGCTCTGTATTCGAAAAGTTACAGAAGCCAGTATGCGCGAAAAACCATGACGAACACTATCAGGAAATTCGCCAGCTTTCTACGGAAATTTCAAGAGAAACTAAGAACGGAACCGGGAATAAAATGCTAATGTTCTTCGACCCCCAATCCCAACCCCAATAACCAGAAAATCTCTCACCAAATAGTTCGTGCAAAACATGAGAACACACAAAACTTTCAAAGGTGATTACCAATCAGATTGTTCGGGATCATGAGACATCCGAAACCAGTTTCGCGCAAAATTGTTCAACGACAATTACATCCCCCAATCCAACAAAGAATTCAACAGAACCAATCCGAACACGCAAATACACACCTATGAATAAAATGGCAACGAGGTCCATAGGGGCAATATCCGGATTGATGATACGATTGACAAGCTTCAGTTTTGTATTTCGGATGGCGTGGTATTGGACGTTTTTCCTGTTCACCGTGCGCATATTGACATCTGTGACAAAAATAACATCAATCACGCAATAAAAATCATAGATCATACGCGTACAGCAATGTGTCAATCTCTACCTTTCACCATAGTTACAACGTCCATGATCCATCCAAGAACGGCACAATTCAGTTTTGTACAGTTTCGGGTTCTTTGGTGGAGGTGCATTCGGCGGTGTTACCACTCCTACCATAGGATTTATGTTTGCCGATGCCATTGAGTTACCTGCATAAAAACAAATTGCTAGAGCGAAGGAAAAACTCATGAAAAAGAATTCATGGAAGAAATCTATTCATAACCTAGTGTAACAAACCCAGGAAAAAGATTTCGTGGAAGAATATGATATTTATAGCTTAGTGTTATGAACACAAAAAAAGGTCATGAAAAAATATGGTATTTAAAACATAATGTATATGTCTATTTCCAGGAACTAGGCTTCAAACATAGAAAAGAAAGTATAGAACTGACAGAAAGGAACTTGTAAATGACCTACCATTTATAGGAGTCCCTGGAGCTCCGAGCGAATTACTTGTATCATAATGCGATGACATTATGCCAAACGCTCGGCGACTTGGTTGCGCAAACCTAGAAATAATAACAAATTTAGACCTAGGAAAAAAAGTGAATTCTCCAAAAATTCTACCTATTCGAGCTTGCCATCTGTTTGTACGGAGATCCAGTGAGTTGTCCAATAGAGAAACCGCCACAATTATCCGAAACAGGTGATGAGAATGTATCCAATAAAGAGGATAACGCTTCAGTAGGTGTCGAAAGCGGATCGTGGACGGGCTGAAATCGCAAGCAAATAAACAAGGAGGGTATCTTGATAAGTTTTCAAGTAAACACGCGCGTATTCCCGAGTGGAATGGTTCCCTTCCACTCTTGGGATTTATTCATTTGTACCAAAAAAGGAAGTGATGTTTATGCACAATTTGCAATGGCGAATAACACATTATGATCGCATAATTCTGCTATACATGATGTGCTGTGGTGCCTGTCAAAACACCGGCAGATTCGATAGCATTATTGCAAAAATCTATAGCAGAGAGTGAGATTAGACGAAGGCGGAGTGTTTAACTAACAAGCAGGAAAAAAATTCGTCGGGGGCGATGTTGAGAACGTGGCAAAGTGGAGAGCGTCGTTCAAAAGAAACGATTAACAATCAGAGAAAAGGAAAGATTGTGATGGCAGCCTAATATCAGAAATTTTTATCGAATTTTCATGCACATGAGGATAGTATTCGAAAGACTTCAAACAAAAATTAGTATTTTTGACCAAAGAAAAGCACAATTATTAGCTTCTATAACGAGCTTTGAATATAGGTTTGGAAAATATCAATTTCCAACTGTAATCTCATCACGTCAAATATAAAATAATATATCTCATCACGTCCTTTATAATGGGGAAGAGGGGATCTCGAACATCCAAACTTCCAAATGGAGAGTCAGGAAAGAAGGCAAGTTATCACTTTTTTAGATTACGTAATTTATACAAACAACCTTTAGGAAAAGTTGCAACACTAATTTCCAATGACAGCCGTATTAGAAACTGGTATCGCGGTATAATCTGCCAGATCTCACAAAGGGCAAAGTAATAATCCAAATAGAAGAGGGAAGAAGGAACGATTACTTCTCCATCAAGGACATCACTTGCAACAAGATAGCAAAACTAAGTTCCACAAAATAAATTCCGGAAAAGGAAAACACTCCACCTCTCAAATTAACGTTTCCTATCTATTCCCTTTTGTTTACGCGGTGAAGGCAGCCACTGAATTAACTTATGCCCGTACAAAGGCAAAGCATCCGAAATTGAAAAAAAACCACATGCAATTAGTTTCGCGAGCAATTCGCATTTCGAGGCATTGAAATCCATCTACACATGGAGAGCACGCCACTTATGTAACTTGATGCCAGCTAGGCTGGGAAAAGCTCTAGCAAATGGGTGGTCGAGGGAGAGATAGAGCATCCATACGTAGTAGGAGAACAGACTAAATTGAGAACTACTGAAAATGAGCGCGGGGTGGACCGAAAGCAGTCGCGTCCTCGTCGTTGGGCGTAAAAATTGGGCAAAAACTTGCCGTACCGAGCGCTGAAGAGAGCAAAACAAGCGCCAATTCATCGCTGCTGCCCTTGTGTCGACTAAAGATAGCAGCAATAGAAGAAGTTGACTAGCGCAAAAATGGTAAGTGGCATTTTGTTAAACAGAACAACTCATTCCGAAAAACGGGTAAACTCAAAGAAAGGGTAATGACGTTGGAACAATGAGTGGGCAAAGACGCGGAAAGACGACAACATGTTGGTTTCGCTATGGCCAAATGCGGGCAAAACGAAGAAGATGAAGGCTCACGACATGGACATCGCGTGCTCGCATATCACTTATGTATAACACCACCACCAGAGCCCCGAACATAGCGCTGCGACATCAATAAACACGACTCACACAACAATTCGCGGCTTTTGCCTATGGCCTAGTAGGCCATATTGCCAGCTTTGCGAACTGAGTGCGAACGAAGTGTGAAAAGACTTTCTCAGAAGAAGGTCGCGGGGAATGGAAAGGGGGCGCTCGAGCAACAGCGATCCGCCAGTGCCTTGCGGGCACTTCTTAATCGCTGCCAGTGGCAGCTTTGGCAATTATAAGCGGCGGCATCGTCGTTCTGTCTGTTGACGACTCGACTATAAACTAAGCAATCAAGAAATCGCTTTGATAACGACCAGCTGCGAGTGAATCAAAAATTAAGACTGCGATAAATAATGAATCTTGGCTAACGAAGCAATCTTTTCGAACGACAATGCAGGCAATTAACAAAGTAAAATTGCTAAAGCTGGGCTGAGTGAATCCCATCGATTCAGAATTTGCAGTGTAAAAGAGAGGCCCCAACTAACTGCTCAGGTTTTGCTGCAAAAGGTGTATTCAGAGGCTAGAAAATCGCTAGTAGATATGGATACTGCTGGGGTCGCCACGCCCTTCAGCGAATGTGGTCCGAAAGTAATGAGCGCGGAACTAGATTTCAGAATATTTGTATGTCGAGATGTGCTTTTCACAATGAAAGGAGGAGGCATGACATTTGATACTACTAAGTCTAGTTTCGGCTCATTGACTGCAAACCACTTATGTTGATGGGCGTGGCGACCCCAGCAGCATCCACCTTTTAGAGCGATTTTCACTCTTCAAAATATAGTTATCGCAGTCATACTTGAGCAGTTACCTAGCTAAGATAGTCACTATTAAACTGTATCAAATTCTCAGCAGTCTTGGAGTTGGTTGGACACGTTGCGAGACGCAAAAAAAGAGAAACTTCACATCTAGGGTATAACCAGTGCTCCATCATTATGGAAAGAACCTCATTACACCAGCGCCGCTGACATCAGACACTAAAGCATCTAATCAGCTCCGAAGCACTTGTTTCCCCTAGAGAGGGAAAGAAACCTAACCAAATATTATCGTCCTTCCCGACAGTGCAACAAAAGTGCGCGCGAATTTCTATGCAAACAGCGCCTATTCGGCCAGACTGAGATGAGAGAAACAGCTGAGTTGTGCATACAAAAAGAAGGAGCAGCCCTACATGTGATGATCGCAACGAAGTGATAGCGCCAACGATGCTGGGGGAGAAGGAGGGGGGGGGGGGAAAGACGCGACCGACCGCGAGAGAAACATCAGAACAAACAACAGAGAAGAACAGAGGAAGGCAGTGCCAGCATAAGAACTTACCGGGGCACACTGTACGTGAACTGTCATTTTGCAAATGGCAAAAAAAAACTGATACAAGTTTGATACCAAGAAAAAAGAAGAGATTAATTCATTGGGGACGCTGAGCCAAAAAAAAAAACATGCAAACGCTGCGTTCACTGCAGATTTATTTCTAGCAATCGGACAGCGAAGATGATAGGGCAAAAATCAAGAAACTAAACTACACAGCACAAAAAGGCAGAGTAAAGAAGCATGCGGGCAAACATCGGAAATACCAAGATGGGCGTGTCCTTCCCAGCTCAAAAGACGCTGAGGCTTTTGAATGTAGATAAGATTGAAAAGTCTAGACATCATGGGTTCCGTTTGAGATCAGGCGCATATTTATGAGCTTACACTGTTGTTTTCTTGGTTTCGGCCTCGTTCTGGACAAGAAAAAGGCTTATATCAATGTCTAAGGAGTGGGAGGAGCGGGGGAGGGGAGGGCGAAAAAAGAAATGTCTGAACTGCGATAAAGCAACTTTATCTTGCATGTATTCCTAGATAGCTTATCATATGTCCTCCGAAAGTAAGTCAGTAAGGTATTTTTATAACAACCCATCAAAAATCCACTGCATTTATCTAATTAAACAACTTTTCTGCAGTCTTTTGACTTTTGGAAATGAAACCAAAAACATCCCCAATGTCCTTAATTGTTCCAAAATTCCGAACAACTTCAGAACTTATCTAATCGAATAAATGCAGTGAATTTTTCACGAGTTGTTTCAAAGACACTTTATTTACTTATGTTTCGGAGGGCATGTGGGAAATAATTCAGGAAGACTCGCAATCTCACATTATTAAGCAGTTTAGACAATTTATTTATTTATTTATTTAGAAATTCACTCATGGTGCATCTTAGAAGAAAAGAAAAAGCAAATTCGAAATCCTTTTTTTGTCTCAGGCGTATGGCAGATGTGGCGAACAAACTCGCCGGAAACGCCAAGCATTTAATTCTTCCGTTCAGCGCCAACTAAGTAGCGCTGAACAGCTGAACTAAACACAAAGGAAGAAGCTACTGCGCCGATGCCACCAAAAAATCCACATCCAAACAGCAAAAGCAAGCAAAATGCGTCACTGCTGACGCGTTTGTTCGATGTGCCGAAATCCAAAGAATATGCAACGCGCTTGACTGAGAATCACAACGGCCAGCCGCAAGCCGAAAAAATGCGTGGTAGGAGAATATGCCGAATGTTTTGTTCTCGTTCTCTTTTGAAAAGGGACACCAGCCGATGAACGAAGCAATAAACATTTGCGGCTGACACTGGGGCTGGCGGCAAACTACCAACTCTCTCACATGACACGCCATATGGCGCGTACTTTGTCGGCAATAACCGCTAGTCTATTAATGGAATTGTAGAATTGAACCGCACAGACACACACACCAAACGACACACACAACTTGGCCTCATATACCATAATAGGGATTAGTGAAGCGATTAAAAAGCTCGTATAAGCGGAATTGACGCTAAGCGTGTACGCAAGCGTGAATTCAACTTTCACCAACAGACGACGCAACAACCGGTTCGTTTCTCAAGCACACACACACAGAAATCGAGTGTGCTTGTAACGAAGAACGAAACGACGAAGAATCGGCAATGAGAGTGAAGCGCGAAGCCTGTGCGGACGGCCCTGAGATGACAAATCAACGAGGCTGAAAAAAAGGGACGGCGCTGAAAAAATGCGGAAAGAAGTGATCGTTCGATGAGGGAAAGTTCTCGAACAATCTTTTGTGCAGAGTTTATCTGAGATTGTCAGAAAAGGAAAAAAACATTCTTTTTTCTTGTCAGAAAGGACAAAAAATCAGGTTTTTTATAATGTAGGAAAATATTACCATGAAGTGGACTCACTTTATCCGCCTCAATGATATCAAGAATGGAGACAATGCAAGCGCAGAATTTTCGAAAATTCGACAATTTTCGAAAATATCACAGGCACTCACAAATGAACGATGGTTATCTCGTACGCATGACTATCGCTAATAATTACAGATTACATGAAATCTGAACTTTGCTCAAGCGCGATAACTAGCTAACAAGGAGGAAATGGAAAAAAACGAAAGAAAT